GTGACGTCGTCAATGAAGGCTAGGAAGAGGTGCGGTCCGAGAACAGACCCCTGTGGAACTCCGCTTGTGGCAAGGATGCGGGGAGACAACCCTCCGTCGACGCGTACTTGGAAGGTACGGTTTTGGAGGTAGTTCCGGATCCAGTCCATCAAGTCCCCTGAAACGCCGTAAGATGACAGTTTCCGCAGCAGAATCTTGTGGTCGACCTTGTCGAAGGCTCTGGCGAAATCCAGAAAGATAACATGCGTTTCTTGGCCAGAGTCGGCTGTAGTCGTCCAGCTGTCCCTGGCAAGTAGCGGGTTACTCAGGCAAGACCGTTGACGCCGGAAACCGTGTGGGCAATCAGAGAGCAGTTGCTGGGTCTCCATGCGATCCGTTAAAGCGTCTGCGACGATCGATTCCATCACTTTGGAGATCGTAGATAGGAGAGTTATCGGCCGGATCTTTGCGAGTACCGCCTTTGTAGATTGGTGTAATAGTCCCACATTTCCAATCATTGGGAACTTTGCTTTGCAAGAAGAAGTGGGTGAACAGCTCCGCTAGGGGTAAAGCTAGAGCTGCAGCGCACGCTCGCAAGAGCCGTGGGTGTAAACCATCAGCGCCAGGAGAGGCCGTTAGCCACAGGGACTTGAGTTTCGCCAGGACCTTCTCCGGAGTGAAATGAACAGTCGTCAGGAAAATTGAGAGTGAAACCGAAGAAGGTACCGCCGTTGTGTGCAGTGATGGAACGGAGAATGTGGATGCGTACTGCTTGCACAGGACTTCTGCTGCCTCCGTAGCTGATTTCGTGAGCCCTGTTGGGGTCGTCAATGCGGTGACACCGTGTTTGACTTGTCGAAGACTATTGACGTGTCTATACAAAGCTTTGGGATTGGATGAAAATTTACGCATAAGTTGACGCGGGTGCTCACTCTTATCTTCTCGTACAAGATGGACGCATTGGTTACGGATGGATCGGTAATATTCCCACTGAGTGGCCGTTGGATGGGAGCGATAGTTTCTCCATGCCGTGTTCCTGGAGGCAATCTATTTCCGTGTACGACTTCGGATGAGTGCTGGGCGTCTCTTTCCTATGGAAACTTCTTTGCACGTCGTCGCAGTGGAGCAGAGTTCACGTAGAGTAAGGCAAAAGCTTGACCACACGCTGTCGGCGCTCGATTGGGGCTCGGGTGACCAGTTGTTAGCGGAAATGAGAAGGTTCAACTTTCCGTAATCAGTCCAGCGTTTGGTATAAGTTGGCGTGCTGACGAGTTTTTCGGCGAAGCATATAAAATCGAAACGGAGGACGCAGTGGTTGCTGAGCCCCAAAAGGGCATCACACTCAATGCTCTCAACCATCAGTTCTTCGTTAGTGAGGATGAGATCTAGCAAGGATGGTTGGTTGTTGGATCGGAATCTGGTCGGCTGATAGGTGTGGTTGTACAACGGGGCCGTGTGAAGAAGATTAATGAGGCCTGATGCAAAGGAGTCAGTAGACGGGACAGAGTGAAATAGACAGGGCAGGTTGAAATCTCCCATGATAAGAAAGTGTGTGCGCTTGTGGGATAACACAAGGTGGACGTCGTGCAGTAGTCGTGCATCCTTCTCGGGAGAATTGTTTGGGGGGCGGTAAATGATACCAAGACAGCTGGAGTGTTTGGCGGTTAGTACGACCTCGCACCACATGGTGTCTGGAGACTGGAGGGAGGTGTTTGTTAACATGCTGCAGCTGAGGGAGATGTCATAGTACAGTGCGACACCGCCACCTGGGGTTGCGCGGTCAGAGCGGAGAAATGACATGTGAGGAAGTTGGATTTCACCGTCGGTTATGTCGCCGGAGACCCACGTTTCCGTTATGGCTATTAGGTCCGCTGGTGTTGATAGAAGTCCGAATTGGAGCTCCGGAAGTTTGGACATGAGGCCCTGTGCGTTCGTGTAGATACAGGTGAGGCCCGTTTGGGTGATGAGCGCGGGAGTAACTAGGGTGCTGCCGGTCAGCAGATGACCGGCAGTGCACCGTTTTTTTTGGTTTAGGGGGGTGGGGCCGCTAAGGTTTGTAGTTGGGGAAACAAGGTTTGGGTCGTCGGAGCCCAGATGGGTGTTGGCGGCTGGGTCGTTGAAAGTCTGAAGGTTGGAATGTGTAGGTGAGTAAAGTTCTCCAGGCAGTGAGGCAGGTGGTTCGGTGGTGGACCGACTGAGGACGATCTGGTCAGAGTGTGTCGGTACCGAGTTTGCTGCTGCTGCTACCAGGGGTCTGTAGGAAGCTGTGCGCCTCGGCACCGGGTGCCCATCTGGACGCAGACGGATATCTGGTGGTGCTCGTCTTTTATTAGCATACCAGATGGTGAGTGCATCGGTTGCCATGCTAGCGGTGATGAATGTCACTTTCAGAAGACGGGGGGATTGTTCCTGTATAAGTTGCTGGACGAGGTAGGCGGTGAAAGTCCGTTGTGATTACGTTGACAATATTTAGTGAATGCTGAAGGAACCGCCATTGATTACAGTCATGCTGTTGTCGTTGTTGTAAGGTTGCGTCAAGAGCATGCAGTTCTGGGACGCCATGCACAATGATGGAGCATGGTTGAGTGGGTGGCGTCAGTTGCTGTCTGCGCGCAGCGCGCTTAGTCCAAGGGATGTCGGGGAAGATACGAATTTGGTAAATGCCGAGAGACGCATTGTTTCGGAGTAGGTGTGCTGACAACAGGACATCCTCCATAGCCGGGCCTGGCTGCAAGTCAACACGCAGAAGTCTAGGCTTACCGGCGTTCGGAGATGAAGTGTGGCGAGTCAGTCTTGCGAGACTAATGGGTTTCGTTTCAGGAAGGTTTAACGCGGTACAGATTGAGCTCCACATAGTGGAATCATGAGAATGTCGATTCTGAAGTTGCGGGTCGTTGGACTCGGGCACGTTTGTACATATGACAGAATTAGGAGCAGGGCTACTCGTTATTCGCCTAGACGAACGCGGATGTGAAGCGGTAGCAAGCGTACTTGGTGGGCGGGCCTCCGTCGGAAGCGTTGGTCGTCGGCAAGTGTTGGGCAGACCAGCAGTTGGTAACGGTGAGACGGTACGTGATTCAGGACGGTTGGGAGGTTGTTGTCGTCGTTTGGCTAGACCGTCGACTTTCCGCAATAGATTCTGTAGCTGTTCCTCCAGATTAAGCAAGCGCACTTCTGAGCGAGCATTGTTGCTAGGCGGCTCAACGAATCGTGGTGACCGGGGCGACTGCGTCTGCGAATGCTTGTTACGCGGTGTGGAGGGCGGGTTGGTGGGAGACGAGATTACAGAACCAACCATAGGGCAAGTCGTTGAGGAAAGGTCGCAAAAAATATCCCGCACGTAGTTCGCAATTCTGGGAATGCAACCCGGGCAAATGTACCGCAGGACCGTCTGTGGATGCGAGCGACAGAATTCGATGTCAGCTGCATGGAGCGAGTTGTCACAAGGAGCGTGAACACGGTGAAGACAGATCGAGCAGGTGATGGTACATGGACGCCCAAGTACCGTCTATCTTAGACCTTGTATTCGCTAAGTTACTCGATTTTGTTGATGACATTACTTACGGACCTCCACTGGGTTCCAGTGATCATGTTTGTTTGCTCTTCAATTGTACTGTCTAGACGCTACCAGAGTACTGTTGAGTCTCGCCCGAACATATGGCAAGCAGACTATCAATCAATGAGAGCCAAGGCTTCTGGCTACCATTGTGAGATCTCAGACGACGATACTGTCCAGGTTGCCTGGGATAAATTTAAGTCCTACCTCACAGAGGTCTCTGCTCCCTTCATACCAGTCACAAGGAGAAAGGAGGCCCGAGCACAGCCGCCCTGGATAGATCCCACTGGCAGGCATCTGCTCACAAAGAGATCTAGATGTTGGCGGACTTACCGAGACGCTCCGTCTACCGATACTTATGACAGGTACCGTAAAACTAGAAATAGGTGTAAGCAACACCTAAGGGATGCTCGGCTCAATTTTGAAAAAGGGTTAGCGGACGAAGCTTCAGAGAATCCAAAAAGATTCTTCGCTTATGTCAAAAGGCGCTGCGGTTCGAACATGTCAATTCCAGTATTGATGCGTGATGACGGTACTCATGCGCATACGGATTATGACAAGGCCTGCGTACTCAGTGAGCAATATGCGGCAGCGTTTGTAAGGGAAACCTCTTTGACAGGGGTTGAGCTGGTTTGCAGGACTCCAGAGGGTTCAGAACTATCTGAATTTATTGTAGCGGAGACTGCAGTTCGTAGGCTGTTACAAGGGCTGAACCCTTCTAAGGCCTCTGGGCCTGATTTAATTCACCCGAAACTGTTGCATGTGTTGGCTGCGGAACTAAGTGGACCGCTCGCTATTGTGTTTCAGAAATCGCTTGACAGTTGTGCATTGCCTTCCGAATGGAAGGAAGCTGTCATCTGTCCCATCTTTAAACATGGGGACAGGGGTCTGCCTGCAAATTACAGGCCAGTTAGTCTGACGAGTGTAGTAGTCAAACTCCTCGAGAAACTGGTGAGAGATTCATTGGAGAGTCATCTGAGTAGATTTGATCTACTTAGCAATGTACAACACGGATTCCGGAAGGGATTTTCGTGTCTGACGAATCTGTTGGTGGCTCGCGAAAATTGGGCGGATGCAGTGGACAACGGCCACACGCTGGACGTGCTTTTCGTCGACTTTTCGAAGGCATTTGACAAGGTACCCCATTTGAGGCTCGCGCAAAAGCTGTCCTCCTACGGGGTATCTGGCCGCGCCCTTCATTGGGTGACTGCCTTCTTGGAGGGTAGAGAACAATGTGTACGGGTAGGCCGGGGTCTGTCATTTAGGCAGTCTGTCCTCAGCGGCGTGCCGCAGGGCTCGGTCCTTGGACCGCTGTTGTTCTCTATCTATATGAATGACCTACCCACGAAGCTTAAGGTACCATCGCTGCTATTTGCTGATGACCTGAAGCTGTGGAACATTGTTGATGTTCCTGGGGGTTCCGAAGCTATTCAGCGAGCATTGGATAAGCTTTGGGACTGGTCTACTTTATGGTTACTGCCCATAAATCATGCAAAGTGCTCCGTTCTTCGAATTGGAGGAGGTTGTCCTCCTGCGAAGTGCTTGGTCGGTGGGGTCGAACTCCCCCGTGTATCTAGCCAGCTTGACCTAGGCGTCGTACACTCTTCGGCGTTACACTCCGGCGACAACTGGAAGAAGGCCGCAAGCAGAGGTTTCCGCATGTTGTGGTTAATCCGACGTTCTTTCGGAGTCTTGACGGGCGGCATCTTTACGAGGCTGTTCTCGGCTTTCGTTCGCCCTCATCTGGAATACTGCGTCCAGGCTTGTCCGCCCTGCCTCGTCCGGGACAAAATGGAGCTAGAGAGGGTTTTACGAGTGGGTACTAGGTTAGTCGAGGGATTACGGGGACGGACGTACCCCGAGCGTCTACTTAGTTTGGGAATGCATTCAATGCACTACCGAAGGCTTAGAGGAGACCTAATCCTAACCTACCGTATCTTGACTGGGAAGGTTGGTCCAGATTTGTCTTGGCTATTCAGTCCCGCTAGATTGTCTGTTCTACGCGGTCATTCGTTGAAGCTGGACAAACCGCGGTCCGATCGGATTAGGGCGGAAATCCGGCTGTCACGCCGAGTTATCGACCGCTGGAACATGCTTCCGGAAAGTGTTATCAGGGAATCTACGGTTAAGGGGTTTGAGCGGCAACTTGACGCTCTTGGGTGGCAACACGAAACCTTTCCATTTTCCTGAGTAACTCGCATCTTCGTACTTCGATTTTCTTTTCTCTACTTTTCTTCACGTATTGGTATTATTTTCTTATTTAAGTGCACTTCCCTATTCTGTACCTTCGATTTCTCTTCCTATCCTTTGCTTACTTCACGTGACTGCCACAGCAGGGACTGCTAGGGCAGGAAACGTGGGCATTAAATGGTTGGCCAGGGTGCGATACGGGTGTTTCCGTTTTAGATCCATCAATAACTGAGCACTTCATCAATTCCTGGCTCAACGATCCACTCAAGATGGAACACTCACGGGATTTTCCTATCGTTCCAGTCCCCATCTGAACTGAACTGAACTGAACTGAGTGCAGATAGAGCAGGTGTTCAGTAGCCGCATTGGCGTAGTAGGCGAGACCGAAATGATCGGCATGGTCAAACAGATGACGTACAGATGACACAAATATCTGCAAATAAACGTGGTGGACTACCTGTGTCAAGAGAACAGAATGCCCAGGAGGTTGCTATCCGCAGCATGTTGCCGTCTGTTGCAGTGTCTTCAAACGAAATACTCAGGGATTTTAAAATCAAATCCATCTTCCTGTCGAGCGACGCAATAGAGGCGAGGTTAGCTATCGCCAACTCAACATCTGCCAACCTTGAAGCCAGCGCTGAAAGTTTAGCACCGATGACAGCCGGGCGCATCCATGTCTGAGCGCAGCATTCAGCAGAGATGAAACGGAAGTGAACGCTTGATAATAGCATTTTGTACTGGTCAGCTTGTAGACCGGTACAGCTTTCGTGATACCAGTGGCAGCAGGCGTCACACTGCATGCCGCCAGATAAATCTGTTACTGGCTCTGAACAGTTAACCGATACTGATACTGATACTGTCATGATAGCGAGAAAGATGTTGAACATCTATGTAGCTATATCTCAATGTAGGACATGTCCCACTGACACAGTGTTACCTGTAGTAGTGAGCTAGCCCAGGTGAAAAAAGTAAAATATTTACAAGCATAGAAAAAATCTCCATGTACTTACCATATATTCTTGGATGAACCACATGGAGTCCTTCACCAGCTCCGCCGCCTATTACGGATAGGCATCGTTTCGGAAGCTGCAGTTGGTGGATTAACGGGCTCCATGGGTTATAATCATTGAACGATTCCTTCGTCAGTTTCCTGTGAAGGCTTCGTCGAATCTGGCATCCACAAAGTGCGCGTCCAGGAATCGTTCGAATTCCGACACCGAGTTCGCTTCTACTATCCGCGAGGGCAAACGGTTCCACATGTTCACCACTCGCCGCTCAAGACACAAGGGATGAGCTACCCACTTGAGGTCAGGGACTACCAGTTTGTACTGGTGACCTCGTGTGCTGCTTGACGCACGGACATGGAGCAGTGGCCTCAGCATCGGATAAGCACCCAGATGCAATACCCGATGGGTCATGATGAGGTCCACTCGCACGCGGCGGTAGGCTAGAGTATACAGACCCAATTGTCTGCATCTTTCTTCATACGGCACACCCTGAAGGCCGGGAATGAGCCGTGTGGCTATGTGTTGTACTCGTTCGAGCTTGTGTATCTCGCCTTTCGTCAACGGACAGTAGGCGGGTGAGCCGTATTCTAGCACCGGTCGTACAATGGATGTGAAGAGACGAGTGGCAATCTCTTTCGACCAGGTGCAGAAGCTTCGTTTCAGCGTCCACAGCGAACGCAATGCTGTGCGATACATATTGTCCGTGTTGTCCAGTGACTTCATGTCGTAACTTTGTATAACGCCGAGGTCTCTGACGCAATGCGTCGGGTGTAGAACTTGGCCGTCGAGAGTGTACGATCGGCCCGCTCCACCTTTACCGAGGCACAGAAGTAGCGATTTTGCCGAGTTGATAGGCAAACTTACTTCGGCGGACCACATGGAGAGGCGGTCGAGGTCCTGCTGAAGTATGTCAAAGTCGTCCGACGTATGGATCACCCTCCATAGCTTCAGGTCATCCGCGAACAAGGCACACGGCGACCGAAGGAGATTGGGCACGTCGTTGATGTGAATCAGGAAGAGAATGGGGCCAAGCACCGTCCCCTGAGGAACGCCGCTCATCGACGGGTACCAGTCGGTCAGGTGGCTGTCGACTTGCACCCTCCACTTCCGTCCAACTAAGAAGTCACGGATCCATTGGTGCAGCGAGCCTCCGACTCCGCACTCCCTCAGTTTCTGAAGGAGGATCTCGTGATTCACTCTGTCGAAGGCCTTACTGAAATCGACGTATACCACGTCGACTGACTTACGTTGGTTTACTGCTTGCAACCATTCATGCCATGTTAGCAGCAGGTTAGTGATGCACGAGCGGCCTCTCACGAAACCATGCTGTGCAGGCGTCAGGAGAGAGTTGGTCTCCAGTAGCTGGAGCAGTCTCTTCTTCACAATCTTCTCCAGAACTTTCGACAATACTGCGGTCAAACAAATAGGGCGGTAATTCTCCACTTTGCGTGTGTCACCGCCTTTTGGAATCGGTTTGACAACGGCGCATTTCCAGTCACAAGGCACGCAGCCTACGGACAGGGATCGGTTGAACAGGTCGGTTACAGCAGGTGAGGTCACAGCTGACAAGGACTTGAGGATCAGCGGATGGAGACCATCCGGTCCAGCTGGCTTCGTGCTGTCTAGGCAGCTGACTAGCCCATGTACCTCCGCGACGTCGCAGATCAAGTCGGCTAGCTCAGTCGGTGCGGCGACGGCAGAGCTTGGCGCGCAGGTTTGGTTAGTTGCGAATACAGAAGCGAAGTGCGCCGCTAATGCGGACGCACGCTCGGTGCTTGAACTTAGTGGTTGTCCGTTCGAACCCACTAGCACCGGCACATTACCTGCAGACTTCAGGCGTCGGCAAGCTGCAGTAGACTCATCAAACGAGGACCCCATAGGTTCATCCGTCTCGGCGTTTAGTGAGACAGCCATGTTCATGTGGAAAACAGTAGAATTACAACACGTATACAATAGGAAAACGACCGCAGTAAAAAGGCAAAAACAGGGTGCAAAACGGGATTAAAACGGGGAACAGCCGGAAAAATTACCAGTAAGCGCCAAAGACGCTTTGGCCAGTACCACTTTAATCGATCCAAGACATCTTGGATTAGAGAAAATTTGACAATAGTCAAATTTCGTTTCAAGTGATTATTTAAACACTGTTTTCCACGTTATTTCAGCTGAAAAGCCCGATCAGTATGACACGCCAAAAAGCGAGTTACCGCGTAGTACTCACAGGTTCAAGTCGCACATCCTACCGGCCAATCCAGTTAGCATTGCTGGCTATTCTCATGAGCCGATCAAAATGAAAAGAGAAGGTGCGGAAGTACCAGATCCCTCTGCTAAACCCAGAGAATTAATTGCCACGGCATCGAAAAAGATGCCATCTTTGACAGTCGTAAAGTCGTCTGACGATTATACACAGAACCTTCCGAAGATGCCGATCGTCTCGGCCGCCATCGAACCAGCCCATTCTGACGAAGTGCTGGTAACTGCTCAATGCGATACAAGGTCAACGGCCCCTGCTCCAGTGAACCAAAAGAAGAAGCGGACTAGATCTGCTCGTAAAACTTCGAAGGGGCTTGAAGACCCAGAAACTAGTAATACGCCGGCAATAGAGCGGAAAACCCACGCTACCGTTGCTTCGGCGTCGTTTGTGAAGACAGGGACAGTCCCACCGCCAGTGCTGAAAACAGCTGGTGTAGGTGTCGACTCCAAGGCACGTGGGGTAAACACTCCCCGTCGTGCCGACTCTTTCACGGATAGTAGCGTTATATTCCGTAACGTTACTGAATCTGCGGCCGCTCTTCCAACGGAACGCATCTTGGATGACATCAAGTGGTTGAAACTGTGTGTCAGCAAGCTGCTTCCACCTGGCTTCCCTGGTGTCACTCAGAAAGCTGACCAGATTGGGGAACGTCCCTATCGCTACGCCAACTCCACGACCCCGACTACTTCGCGCGGTCCTTTCTACCCCGGAGGAATGCAAATCATTAGTGCGGTTTGCATTCAAACTTAAGGGTAGTGGTATCAGCGTTCAGCCGGACCTACCACTGGCAGGTAGATTGAAGTTAAAGGAGGCTACCAAAGACCTCAAAAATAGATGGGCGGCTGGTGAGCAAGGCCTCCGTCTGGTGGGTTTTCAGGTGGTCAGCCGGAAGTTATTCTCCGCTTTATCAGAACCCATCCTGATGGCACACGACTCAAGGATGGTCGTGCCGACTTCCTTGAGGTAGTACTTAGCAATGTGCGTAGCCTAAGAAACAAGGTGCACTTGTAGACAAATCTCGTCCCGACATACTTGATTCCACTGAAACGTGGTTGTCTCCGGATATCACGGATGGTGAGGTATGTTTACTTGGCTACGCGCTGCTTAGAACTGATCGCTCCGTTGGTCGCCAAGGCGGAGGCGTTGTACTGTATGTGAGCTGTAACTTAGATGTGTTGAGAACCTGCACATCCCAGTCGTCGGATCAGACTGTTGAAGCCCTATCGGTTGTTTTATGCACTTCCTCTGCCCAGTTTACGGTTATAGTGATATACAGAAGTCCTGGAAGTTCTTCCAGGGGGATACTTGATTTTATTCGCACTCAGTGTGCGAATAAGTGTTTAGTTCTAGGGGATTTCAACCTCCCGGAAGTCTGTTGGGCTGATCTTTCTTGCAATTCGGCATTAGGTACATTCGGTGCAGACTTTCTTGAACTGACTCTGCAGGTGCCTTTGCACCAGTTCCTGGCCTTTCCCACTAGGTATATGGACAATCAAATGCCATCTACTTTGGATTTGGTTTTCGCTAAGTCCCTGGACTTCGTGACTGACGTTTCATACGGTGCACCTCTAGGGTCCAGCGATCACGCATGCATATTCCTTCGGTGTGCTCTTTCAAGGCACCAAGAGACCGCTGTTGAATTATTTCCGAGTATTTGGCGGGCGAACTTTAGTGCAATGCGAACTAAGGCTCAGTTCGGAACTGTAAGATCTCGATGGCTGACTCTGTCCAGTTAGTCTGGGATACATTTAAGCCATACCTTACGGAGGTTTCCACTCCCTATATTCCACTCATGAGGAAATGAGGGTTACGGGCACAGTCTCCATGAATAGATACCACAGGCAAGTACCTACTCAAGCAACGGCCTAGTTGCTGACAAACCTATCAAACAGCTCCATCAGCTAGCACCTATGCTAGTTATCGAGAGATTAGAAATAAATGTAAGCAACATTTCAGAACTGCTCGTCTCCAGTACGAGCAGGGTTTAGCGGACTCGACCGCAGCTAATCCCAAGAAGTTTTTTGCTTACGTTAAAAGACGCAGCGGGACAAAGCTGTCTATACCAGGTTTACTGTG